GGAATGTATTCAGTTATGGCTGACACTTCCCCTGACACAGCAAATACTGATAGACTTGTCGTGGCGGTGCGGTATGTCAATGAAGCAAATCAGCCTAAAGAACGAGTTTTAGAAATGAAGGAAACTAAGGACAAGTCTGGTGAGGGTCAAGCGAAAGAAGTCTTGCAGTCGCTCAACTCAAAAATTGGAAGCCAAGATGGACTGGTTTATCAGTCCTACGATTACACTGCGTCCATGTCAGGGAAATTCAAAGGAGCCCAAAAATGCCTGCAAACATTGATAGGCCGTAGCGTCCCGTACATTCCATGTCAGGGTCACCGATCTAATACATTTATCGAACACTGCTCTAAAACAACGTTGTTTACTCAGATGTATGACCTATTGGAAGCACTCTATGTCTTCTTCAGTAAAAGTTGCAAGCGAGATGGTGTTCTTCGTAAAGAGCTAAAGGAAATAGAGAATGCACTTAAGCTGCGTAACCTTTCCAAGACTCGCTGGGTGTACAGAAGCGAATCTATAGAAGCCATGTGGAGATCATTCGAAGCCATCAAAGACGTCTTCTTGACCTTATCGACGATGGACGGCGTTGATTCATCGGCACAGACCAGGGCCGCTTCTCTTCACGGCAAAGTTCTAAAATTTGATTTCATGTTTGCGTTGATGTTTATGCGTTTGGTTATGAAGATTACCAAAATACTTACCATTCAAATGCAGAAGGAAGAGCTTAACATTTTAGATGCTCTCATGGCAATCGAAGAAACTGTTGCTTCTTTAGAAACGATAAGAAGAAACGAGTCAGAAATGAATAACCAAGTGAAAACTAGTGTTGAATTTTCAAAATCGTTCGATCAGGATCCTGAAGAGGACTTTCGTCGCAAAAGAGTGATAAGGATGAGCAGACGACAGGATGACAACCCAGATACCGCAGCTTCCATTGAGTTTTATGCGCACTACCGAAAGTTTATGATTGAAGTACTCGATTCACTTATTACAGAGTACAAAGAAAACGTCCAACAATGCTTGGAAAAGATTCAACCTCTTGCAGACGTTCTTCAACCTCCGATTACAAGCGTGAATTTCGAGCAAGCCGAAGAAATCTCCAAGTTGTTTCCGCCATCTGAGACTGTCGATCCTGCTTGTCTAGAAGCAGAATTTGAAATATTTGCACAGGTCGTTGGCAGGAGCCAAGATCCTTTCAAGTCCGTTAATGATGTCTGTAATCTGGCATATGAACACAAGTCGATCTTTCCTTCCATTTTTAAAGTATTTAAGCTTTTGTTTACTGCCCCAGTCAGCGTGGCAAAAGATGAGAGGACGTTCAGCAAGATGAAGATCATCAAGAATTTCCTGCGATCAACCATGTCAGACGAACGTCTCGAAGATTTGATTGTCTTAGCAGCTGAAAAGGATTTAACAGACAAAGTCGATCTGGACGAAGCTCTGAAAGTGTGGGCTAGCAAAAAGAATCGGAAACTGAAGATTAAATTCTAAAATTTAATAATTAGTCTTCAGTAAGACAGTAACATTATCGATTTATCGTATACAAACTGGCAAGCAGGAAAGCAAATAACTCTATAAATTTCTATTTGGCGTTTTTGTTTGTGCTAATGTCTCCGCTTACCTAATTAGTTCTATAAAAAAACAATAATTCGTTATTCGTTTTGCAACATGATAGATACATCGAATTTAAATGACTGTAGTGACATCCATACCTTTGACGATGATGTTATAGTAATAGTGCATATTCATTATATACATTAGCAAATACCTGTGTAGAACTACTGTGAGCAAAACTTGATTTTATTGGGCAAATATTGTTGACACCCCCCAAATGCTGATACCCAAGTTACGCCCCTGGTTCCAATTATTTATGCATTATTCTATTGAAATCTATTACATAACAATTGAATTACTCATACCATTCAATGACTTAATTTCATCTAAATATAAAAAATTGGGAATGAATTTGTAAAAGCAAGTTGATAACCATGCAAAATTATACGATGCGAAGAACGGTGATCTAGTTGTTGAACAAAACAGCTTAATTGGCAACTAGTAGTGTAACGTTTAGGTAGGGTATGAACTATGTTAAGTCTTAAGACTCGACTTGACGTTTATTGTGTGTATATGTAGTTGCCATGATTGTATTAAACCCAAAAGTCACGGCGGTATTTGTCATGGTTGTGTAGTCGCGGTGTTAACACTTGATATCATATTATGATATTTCATTGCCTTAAAATAAGTTTGCGTGATTGCGATTTTATGTGAATGAATGAAAGAATATATATTGTAAATTGAATTTGTTCCATAAGAATTGAAGTCATACCATTCTATTTGTTTATCTAAAAAACGGGGAATCCAGATTCCAGGAAATCAAGATTCCGGAAAATCAAGATTCCATGCAGGTGTTTCAAAAGGAATGAGGAACCCGCGCGCGGTTCGTGGAAACCGCGCGGGAATACTATATATTAATTGTTTCTCTATCAAGGTCTAGGACGCAGCAGCAAATGTCGATAGCTGTCACAACGTCCTCATCTGTACTATACACATTTTACCTACTTTAGTTGGATCGAAACTTATATCCAAGAATTGCTGTAACATGATATGCATGTTAACATGATATGCAACAAATTTCATAAATGGTTTTCTCAGAACTAAGATAAAGACGTTGCACATGTAATAATAACTGATATTTCTGATAATAAAATTGATGCAATACATACACACAGCTTCATATAAAATGTAACTGGGACAAGACTGTTTTAACAGAGTAAAATAATAAATGTAGGCTATAATGTCGTGTTATTGTTCACTCCGTAATATGATAAGTAGGAAATGTTCTCGAGTGTGTATTTCATAATTTCCATACCCAGCGCAAGCAGAAAGATAAAGTCGATCTAGTAATTCGAAGGTCGTGGATTCAAGGCCCAGCCGCGGCAGACTTTATCTTTCTGCTTGCGCTGGGTATCGAAATTATGAAATACTCACTCGAGAACAGGGACTTACAAGAAGCAGACAAAGGAGCTGCCGTCTTCCAATGCTCCACAACCTTTCTGACGCAATGCTCTGACAAATCACGCATCTCTCTGCGATCATGCCTTAGAGGGGCTTATGAGAGACGAAGGTCACAAGAGGGGGGCTTTTTAGAGATGGAGCTTATGAAATAGGTGTGTGTATTAGAAAGGGGGCTTATGAGTGAGGGAGCATATGATAGAGGAGCTTATGAGGGTTGTGAGACAGGGGGCATATTAGAGAGGAAGGCTTATTAAAGGGCGAAATGCAAAAGAGAAGGGAGTATTAGAGAGGGATTTATTGCAGCTGTTCCTGGTTAAGTCTAATAAATGTAAATAAATTTCCACTCGATAATTTCCATCTACGAGACCCTTCAACCATTATATTCAATCTGGTGAGATATGGCCAACAAAATCTTTATATTTACCATAAAATAATACAGTAGGGCGCATTGGGGCGCAATGATTAAACTTAATGGGTTAAATTACATATGCTTCAAGTGTTTGAATGTTCCTCAAAAATGCATTAATAATGATGCAATATAATATTTATTTATACAGGTTTTGGATTGATTAATTTTTTACCTTCCCAGACGTGCATGCAGAAACACGCAATTTAATTCGGGATGATCACTAATTTATCATCAGCGTATTATTTAATAGATTCGTGAACTAAAATTCTGATTCTCATGTGGTGCCAGAGGCCAATTATTAACCGCAAAGAAAGGTCGACGAAGCGAATGCCGGGAACTTTCCATTACTGGACCACAACACATTTCGATTGAGACTTCTAGCCAACCACGACATTGTTGTACATAACACTTCACTGACTTTTCCATCAGTATAAATATCTGATATCTTTATAAAAATGTTCTCAGAATTAAGACGAAGACTCGCAGGAAATGATATCTGACTTAACAAACATATATCATGTCACACACAGCTTTATAATGCAAATTCTTCGAATTAACTATAGCACATTTTACAGTTATGTACTTCAGTTGTATGGATGAGTGATGTACAGATATATCATGTATATGAATTATTTGTTAAATTTATTTTTATTCATCGGAAATTCAAAGCGGCCTTAAAACGCAAATTTACCAAAATGACAAAAATGTACGACGGTTGGTCATGACAATTATGAAGTATTAATGAATTTATGCTGAAGTATTTATATACATGGTATTCTATTGTGATTGAAGTACGAAGAAAAGTTCACAATTATGTGTTGATAATTCTATCACCGCGATGTCGTCGTTGCTTGTGTATTGTAGGCCTGGTATAACATGACAATTGTCTGATACACAAGTCATATGGATATTAAATTATGTTTTTAAAGTTAGTCCTTAAAATCCTTGAGTAGTGTTTTTACTTCAAAACTGTTTCTCTGTCGTCCGAACCAAGAAGCAGACAAAGGACCTGCAGTCTTCCAATGCTCCACAACCTTTCTGACGTAATGCTCTGACAATTGATGCATTTCTCTGCGATCGTCATGGAATGCACTGCCCTGTGAGTTATTGAAAACACCTGAACACATTGCAAACTTTCCTTACCGTATTGCAAAACCTTCGCCAACGACTTCCACCTTCTTTACAGATTCACCGAAGACATTTCTATAGACAGCTCCGTGAACTACACCAGGCTCTTTACTCATCCACTTCTTAACATTTTTTTAATCTGAGTCATGAATGACGATATAGCCAGACTTACAGTGAGTGTTGCTGGCGGTTCTCCATTCTGACTTGCTCTCGTATTGGTAAATAATCACTCCGCCATAGTTGTGAGCAGGCTTATATGTGTCAGATTGCCAGGAAATGTGCATATGGTTTTGACCGAAACTTTTTCCTCATTATAAAACGTAGGGTATATTTCAAGCTTCTCTTTCTCACGTGGTGGGACAAAGCGAGCAGAACCAGGTCCGCAGAACATTCGTTCAGATTCACAAACACAACGTTCTCCTGGTTATGGGAATCTCTTAATGCTCTTAGTTTACCAGTAGACATGTCAAATGCAAACTTTTCCGCCAGTAATATTCTATTTACTTAGCTAAATTTACTATTCTCTAAATACGTATTCACTAAATACGTATTCACTAAATTTTGGTGATAGTGATATCCCGCGTGTAGACTTATAAGAGATCTGTATTCAGCGAGTCAGAGCTTCAAAGCTTATTGTATGGTTACGTGAGTTTTTAACAAAGTTGGAACTATTCCTTATTTTCCTGAGTACGGGTCTTCGACCAATTTCATATTGTTGTTCCTTATTGATTCATCAACATTTTCGATCCCAGAGCAATTTTCACTCGGTCAGTTAAAATTATTCTCTGGATTAGACGACTAAAGGGAGAGATCTGATTGCCTTCACAGAGAACCGCTACTTCCAAGAAGTTGGGCAGTTTTCGCTAGGCAAAATTATTCTATCAAAATATATCAACACAAATACTTCGTTTCTTCGTAATACTTGTTTGTGTTTTTTCTTGCACTTCCGGTTCCGTGTATCGCAGAGTCTATGTTGGTCGCGCGCGGCCGAGAGGCCCTGGGAACGAAAATTCTTCACTATAAATATGTATGCGACAATATTTATTTTAAATAGTCTTTGGTTTGATTTAATTTTATGTCGAACAGATGTGTACAAACACACACGAGCCAAAACACATATTTAACCGAGGATCGTCGCTAATCCTTGAACCAGACTATTATTATTTATCAGCTAAAATTCTGAGGAATTATTTCGATCTTGTCTTTCTCAGTTAATTCTACATGGCCGACGGTGAAAGTCGACGTAGCGGAAGTCGGCAACCAGGTGCCATCGCTGACCCGCAAGTCACAACTCATTTTCCTTTTTTGGATCGAAACTTATGACTAAAGCCTCGACATTGCTGCAATATTTCGCATGTTCTTAATAAATAATATAGTAAAAGTGTTTTTTCTGTGTTGGTGTAATGACTAATGTACTCAGGTGTTACTCTGTGTATATAATCGAACCTACGACCTTTGGAATACTAACCCAATACTCTGCCAACTAAGCTACGCGGGCAAGTCGGTTCGAGTATGTGATATTTCGCAACAGAATCTAGTTCCTTCGATATCAACGTAATCAGGGCGCTATAAAACACGTGTTCCAGAGTCCCTATCTCCCTCAGAGACCATGTGCATTTATGGATAACTCCCGGAGTATGTCTGTTCGCGGGTTATGTAGTGGCTGGACCAAACGAAAACATCTTCTTAGGATAACTTAGGATAATTTTGCGTATCCCACATTCCCACTCACGGTTTCTGCACGCTTAATTCACGCTAAATGCGGCTATAATCTATTTCCTTCGATATCAATGTAATCAGGGCGCTATAAAACACGTGTTTTATAGCGCCCTGATGTAATCTAGTAATCATGATTTTTTTCTGTGTTGGTGTCCCACCGTGTTCAGGCATATTTTGCAAGCTTGCCCGGTGTGGATATACCAGCACTCAGAGTAACATC